TGCCGTGCCGTTCGTCAAGACCAACCTCCCTACCACGCTCCTATCATTCGAATCCACCAATGACGTCTGGGGCCAATGCAAGAACCCGCACAACGACAAATACTCGCCCGGTGGCTCAACAGGTGGGGAGTCGGCATTGCTGGCCTTCGGTGGTAGTCGCATTGGCATCGGATCAGACGTCGCTGGCTCGGTCCGCGCTCCCGCCCACTTCTCTGGCTGCTACTCGATACGATGCTCAACGGGACGATGGCCCAAAGTCGGCATGAACACAAGCATGTCGGGCCAGGAAGCCATCCCTTCCGTCTTCAGCCCCATGGCGCGCACGTTGAATGACTTGACCTACTTCACGCGAGGCTTCATCCAGATGAAGCCCTGGAAATACGACTATACCGTCCACCCGCTAGACTGGAGAGAGGACATCGAGACGGAGTTCAGGGAAAAGCCAAAGCTCCGCATAGGCATCATGCGAACCGATCACGTCGCAGACCCTTCGCCAGCATGTGCGCGCGCTCTAGACCAAACCGTCGAAGCACTCAAGGCTGAAGGCCACGAAGTCTTCGATGTCGAGCCCCCTTCCCCGTACGAAGCTCTGAAGCTAGCATCACAACTCCTTCTCAGCGACGGCGGCAACACGTTCATGGGCCATTTCCGTACTGGAGAGTGGAACGATCTGGGTGCAGCGCAACTGGTCTACTACATGCGCCTGCCCAAGTTCATCAAGTACGCGCACTACCTGTATGTCAAGTACGTCAAAGGCGACGACATCTGGGCTGGCTTGCTACGCGACTGGCATCCAAAGTCGGCACACGAGTACTGGCAGCTCGCTGGCAAGCGCGAGGCATACAAGCAGAATTTCTACCAATGGTGGTCTGAGGAGGCCAACATGGATGTCATGCTCACTCCGCCTAACGCAACCCCTGCGGTACCTCATGGCGGCATGCATGATGCAGTCAGCAGCTGCGGTTACACTTTCATGTTCAATCTCGTAAGTCTCTTTCCCGGTACCATGATCCTTTGCTAACGAGATCAAGCTCGACTACTCCTCTGGAATCATCCCCGTAACGCACGTCGATCCTGCCAAAGACGCTCTACCATCCGACTTCAACATCAAGAAATTGAACGGTGTCGCGCAAGGCGCGTACAAGCTATACGATGTGGAGAAGATGGCTGGTCTGCCCGTAGCTGTACAAGTCGTCGGAAGGAGACTGGAAGAGGAGAAGGTCCTCGCTATCATGGAGAGAGTGGAAGATGCGTTAGACAAGCATGGCGGACGATACCAGTTGCTGGAAGTGGATTGAGGACGACATCTGAATAAATTCAATTATCAATGAGCCCTGCTAGGCACAATCCTACATGCCAACCCGTATGTTGTATACTCCTCCTTCAAGATCGAACACCACACGTCCATCTTCTTCCCGATACTGCTCCTTGCCAAGCACTCTCCCATCCACAACAACCGTCACATTCCCATTCGTCCCCTCAACCGGGAGCCTCACTACACCCTCTGTCCCCACCGGTGTCTCAATCACGACCCCATACCCAACTCCACCCTTCTCTTTCTCCCAGCCCACCCTAAACTTCCCCAGCCCCGTAACAAAGCCCGCCTGCGCCCTTATCAGATCCCCAAACCTAGGTTCAACAACCCACTTCCTCCCCGCCGGCTCCGTGACCCTCAGTCCAACCAAAAACTCCGTCAGCGCAGACGTAGGCCCCGAACTCCACCCATGAGCATGACTTACATAACTCGGATCGTATCCATACCCCCTCTCCTGTCTATACCCAAACGTCCCATTCGTCCTATACCCCTCTATAACCGTGGAACCAGTACCATTGCGATGATTCGCATACCAGCCCCAGCTCCTGCGGATGAGTTCGAGAGCCCGGGTTGTACCTGTTGGGCTGGTGACGGTGAAGTGAGCTTGGATTTCGAAGCTGGAGATGAAGGGGGATATGTTGCCGGGGAGTTCCGGGGCTTCGGCGCCGATGGGCGTCCAGTTCTTTGTGAGGGCTGTGGAGATGTCTTGGGCGATTTGGGAGGAGGGTGGGATAAGGTCGAAGAGGATGGCCATGCTGTTTGCGTCTTGGGGGTGGAGGGTGGTGAGTGTGGCATTGTCGCGGAAGGCGCCGTAGGTGGAGTCGAAACAGTGGGTGAGAATGGCTGTTTGAAGGGCGGTGGCGCGCGACGTCCAAGTTGCTGCTGAATTGTTGGAACTGCTGTCGTTGAGCCATGTAGCGAGTTTAGCACCGGTTTTCAGAGTGTGGTATAGAATGACATTTGCTTCCGTATTGTTGAATCCAGTTTGCCAGCGCGCCCAGTCCCTGGTGCCGGTTTGATTGAGGAGACCAGATGTCTCGACTTGGACTTTGGCGTATATGTAATCCATAGCCTTTTGGTACTTGGCCCAGTTCCTCTGCACAAAGGCTGCGTCGTCCGTGTATAGCATGTAGTTGTAGGTACCGATCATTGTCCACATATGATACGTATCGCTGTTTTGCTGTAAAAGCGGCGGGCCAGCTTCAGGGAATGAACCATCCGGATTCTGGTAGTCGAACATGATTTGCAGTGCGTTCTTAATGCTGGCGAGATCCCCGGTACTGACAAAGGTGGAGGGAACAGCAATGCCCATGTCGCCTGGCCATACGGCACGGTCTCGTTTCGCTCCATCAACGATGATGGTATCGCCTGGACCCAGAGTGCCGTTGTTGGCCCACCCGTTCGCGAGCATGGGGACCCAGCGTCCCGTGTTGGTGGGTACGGCGTTAGTTTGAAGCGTATATGCGCCTGCATACCAAATTCTGTTCAGCAGTTCATCGTTGGAATCGAAAAACCCTTGATAAGCCTCCAGGTTTGACCACGTAGGCTGAAAGCTTATCTCAAGCTGCACATCCGTGACGTTGACGTAGGTACCGCTTTCCGTGACAAGGAAGGCCGTCATGTATCGAAAGCCTCCTCGCATCACCTGATCTGGCATCGTGTATGTCCCTGGGCCGACAGTGCTGATGTTAACATATAACGCACCATCGCGACCAGCGAACTTCCCGTTCGATGCATCAGACCATTCACCTACCCATGTCGAAGCTTCCGAAAACGCGAGGCCGATAGCACCAGTCCCGTTACTGGTGTACGAGATAGAAGCGATGCCACCGACTTCAATACCGAAATCGAAAATAACATTCGTCCCGTTGCCGCGGAGAACGACGAGACGTGGGTAGCTTGCTGGATGTCGGTCTCGGATGGTGAAGACTGATCTTGGACGAACTGTTCGCGATGATGGAGCGTAAATGTTGGAGTTCCAGGGCCCTGATCTATCAGTATTGCAAAAGTGAGTACGAGTTTGATAGAATAGATACCTGCAAATGCGGCTTCACTAGGTCCGCTGCATTTCGTGTCCCGCCAACAGGTTGCAGCAAGAGCATACAAAGGTAGTGTCGCCAACGCAACAACGGTCCCTAGAGGTGTAAGCCAACGCATGATTGTACCGACTCAAGTCGTCCTCAAGATGTAGTAGGTTGTGCCTTCCTATTACATGTTCTTGGAAGATTTTCGACACCATTCCGTGTACTATAGAGCTCTCGGCATGCGTTACGCCGAGCCGCCCATATGGTTTTCCGGTCCGGGAATAGATGAGGTATACGATCTCCTGGATCTTCGCTGAGATGCGGGGAAATAAGCTACGAGCTAGACGCAGTAAGCTTCGCAAACCTGGGCGCATTCGTTGGTCATAAACTTGGGACGGAAAAGCAGTCTGAATTCGCATCAGAAGGTATCGTTGAGCATTGGTGGTTTTGTGATAGTATGGCGCCATGAAAAGATGGGAGCTGGAGTCATGGTGCTATTCCGAGACGACTTCAACTGATCCTCAGTGTAGTCAAAGTGATTTAGATGTATACAGATGTCCTTCGCGCTTGGTCGAAATCGAACTTCGCCGTTCCTTCCGTTGCCAGAAGGTCAGTAAGGATTTATTGGTGAGGAGGTTGGCCGTGCTGCATTCGACCTGCACAGCTAACCAAAGAAACAAGCCAGGGCATTGTATCGCAGAAGAATAGTTGATTGCGACACAGAATCTGAAAGCATGTTGTGCATGGGTACAAGTGATGAGACAGCGCGCTGGTCGCTCAAGCGCGAAACTTACGCGCCTGATCGCGCCAGCCTGGGAATTGTCAAGGGAGGCTCTTTCCTTCCATCCACAGCCCGCTAAGCCCTTCGCCATCACCATCAGAACTCAAATTCCAACCAAATCTAACTACGTCACTTTCTACATCATTTCCAAGGTTCATCGGATGCATTCTCCAGCCAGTGCCAGAGTAGCTAGCTGCCCCGCTTACGTCATTGCGGCTCGCGTTGTTGATCGCAACATAAGTCTCATGCTACCCCTCATGCAGCCCCAAGCGACCACTACTTCCGAATCATCACTCTTCCTATCTTAGAAAGACAATCCTGAGCCGCATAGTATAGCCCAAAGCCTAGTTGCCGGACTTGCATAGACCTAGAAGTTAAGAGCCGGGACACGTCGACGCGTCAACTCCCGACTGATAAACCGTGAGCACATAGAACGTCATCCCTGATATCATGTACCATGATGCCGCTAATGCAACAATTCTTTGACAAATACCCGCATCGGGATGCAGAACACAGCTGCCGATACGCTGGGATTTCCAGACCGCATGAGGGAGGGACCACGCTAAATGGGTGGAGGGGCGGGGAATCCAGCTAAGCAACGAGCGCTGGGTCCAAGGTAGGCTTGATATAAATGTCTACCGCTTCTCGAATACCTTGTTGTCCATCCTCCCTTACATACTTTGACATTTAAACTCAATACGGATAACTAGGAGGACCAATCAGATCATCATGACGGACTTCAAGGGACATTGCCATTGCAAGCAGACAGAGTGGACTGCCACCCTGCAGCAAGATCAGCAGGCACACATCCTATGGTGAGTAGTGTCATTCTGTTCCTATAACAACAATTCGTTGCAGGATCAAGCTAACAATCGATTAGCCACTGCAACACTTGCAAAGAGCTCTCCGGCTCCACGTACACGCTCAATCAGATCATCCCCAAGAAAGCCCTCAAAATCACCAAGGGCGATGATCTAGGCAAATACACATACAAGGGTGACTCTGGAAAGAGCGTTCATTGCGTATGTCGTCCCTTCGACTATCCATGAAAGTTGATAAAAGAGCATCTACTAATGATTCCTCAGTTCTACTGCAAGAACTGCACCTCACACGTGTACCACGAGCAAGAGGCGCTCGGCCCCGACAGCATTGTCCTAAGGACAGGATTGTTGGACGAAGGTGTCAAGAACTTCAAGCCTGGTGCGGAGATCTTTGGCAAGGACCGCTTGTCGTGGGAGAAGGAGGTTGCGCAGACGTTTGAGGTTATGCCGCCGTCATAGACAGACATATTCGATAGCATACATATACGAATATCTCATCATAGTCATCAAGGCTTTCAGAATGTTCGCCACAATTGGAACGAGGTGTCTTTCGCCGTGAGACATGTCATTCTAGATTGGATGCGTATACAGCATTATATCTTATCCCAACTTAGTCAGAAAGCGGCGGGAAACTCCTCAAGAAGTGGCTCGGGCACTCGTAGCCGCCCGGGTTGTGGTCCAAGTACAATTGGTGGTACTGTTCCGCATCCCACCATTTCCCTGCAGGCAGGATCTCTGTTGCGACGCTTCCCTTCCACCACTGCTTGTTCACCTTGTCGGTAACGTCTCGCGCAATCTTCTCCTGCTCGGCATCGTGGTAAAAGATGGCGGATCGGTATTGGCTGCCAACGTCTGGACCTTGGCGGTTGGAGGTGGTGGGATCGTGCATCTTGTAGAAGAATTCGAGGAGGGAACGGTAGGTTACTTTTTCGGGATCGTAGACGACTTGCAGGGCTTCAGCGTCTAGGTTACCAGTCAGCTAATGGCCAGAGATCACGTCACGCCTCATGGCGCAACAAAAGCGAGGAATACGTACGACCAGTGCGTCCGCTGCATACCGCCCTGTACCCTGGGTTGTCTGTGTCACCACCGATATATCCAACCCTCGCATCGTACAAGCCCTTTCCCTTGTACTCTCTCCGGTACATGTGCTCGACACCCCAGAAACATCCGGCAGCGACAGTGGCGGTTTGCGCACCCGAAGGCACGTTCATGGGTTGCGCGGGCGCATTCGACATACTGCTGAAGGGGCGAAAGAATTTAGTCAGAAAGGACATGGACAAGTAAGACGTGACGACCAAAAGGAAGAGCGTGAGGAGCTTCAGTTTGGTGGTGGTGATGTATATGTTGTAAGAAGGAGAGAATTACTTTGCTGCTGAGTTATTATGTATCGCAAGTTTGCCGCTTCGATTGGGAAAAGGGCAATGGACCGCGGCGATGATGCCATCATTTGGCGTGACAAATCGAAGGGTCCACGGCCACGCTTCAGCCACATGGGTGGCGGCGGGGTCGCTCCTTCGCGAAGATAGGAACGCCCGACTCGTGCATCTTACTGATCACATATTCCCACACATTACGGACCTCCTAAACAGCAGTGCACGCTGTCTTTGACGCGTCGCAGTGTTGTTTTATCTGACGAGATTCGCGTGCCGCCGTTCTGCCCGCCCCGCTACGTGTCTTTACCCGGACAAGTCGCGGCCGATGTCTGCAGCCTTCCGGCATCAACACAGGCTCGAATCCTCCAGCACTGCTCTTTGCATGATGTCCTGCTTCTTTGCTACTTGATCCATGGCCGTAGCATTGCCTATTCGAAGGACATGCTCTTGGAAATTTCGGCTAGGTCCCAGCGGACCCATCCTGCGCTCTCGGAAAAACACTGCGCAGTAGGCTGGAGTGAAACGGGACGTATAAGCGGCGGGACCGGGACGTGGATTCTATTACACTCGCGTTAGTGTCATGGAGAGGTCTCTTCGTTCCCTCTCTTGTAGTACCGAACGCCTTCTCAGCTCATAGTTGCACGTACAGTTTTACGAATGTCGTGTATCAAGCATACACAGTCAGCTTGCTGTTTTCGCACTTGACTGACAGTCCTATAGTCCTACCCTCCAAGTCAGGTCCGGCTGACAGCTTTGGTCGAATCACCCCGACACGATGCGCGTAATCAATTCTCAATCTATTTCGCCTGAAAGCCTTGCACCGGCTACAACCCGCGTTGCTGAACCGGCAGTAGTTGAATCTAGGCTCATACGATGCATCCTTGGACGTGGCGTCGCTCCGAGTCACCACGTGCGTCGAACACTGCTTGATGCATGCACTTGACTAACTCTTCTAAGATTATTTTTAGATGCATCTCTAGACCTCACATCTGCAAGGGCAGCAAATCGCGTTCGCTAAAATTGATCAAGGCAGGGCCTCGAGCACCGATGGAACGACAAGCTTTAATATAAGGTTAATCTACGCGCCAAGAACTCCTCACTTCTCCAGATCTTTCGAATTGGACGTCCACGATACCCTCGCAGTACTATGCCGCTCCTTCCAGGCAGGGAAACTATTTTCAGTCTTCGCTTCCGCACATGTTCCGTTGCTGCATTACATACAGGATCTATAGATGAAAGACAATATCCGGATGAGCTTGTTTGCTTCTCGGTCAGCTTCGTGGACTGTCTATACCCAGCATCCAGGCCCGGCGTTTCTATTCTGAGTTCTGCACCCCAGGCAAATACGCTCGACTCATCTCGCTTTCATATCTACATCCACTGGGCTGGCCAAAACCTATGCGAGGAAACGGCTCAAACTCACAGCGACTCGCTTGTGCAAAAAGACTTTGGTACCCTAGCCGTCATCTGATATGAAATGGCCACGGTATACCTCGTTGACCGCGAGTCTGGGTTTCGTATTCGCTATCAAGAGAATCTATATGCCCACGCGACGGGTGTGCTTTTAGTTTCAGCAGCTGTACCGCCGGCACTCGGTTTCCGGGTAGGTTGCATACGGCGCCACCAAGTTGTGCAAGAATTCGTGATACTCGCATGTCAGCAAACCTCGCCAAAAGACATTGGCATTGGTGATGCCGAGAGTTTCACGCATACTGCACCACCTGGTGGCGCAGACGTACGATATTCAAAGAGCCGCCACGATTCAGGGTTCAATTTCCTCGCGCCCGGAAAACTCAAATGAAGATGCTCCGTTGCTGTGATTCGGGTTAGGATTGCAGCTGGAAGCGAGATGCACGGCGGAACGAGACTATCACATACCCCAGATACCGACACTTAGCCTGGAGGCTGGCTCAGAATGTATCCACACGGAACAATATTTCAGCTAAGCGGACAACACGAACTCAGCTGAGCAACTTCTGCGATTCTGGACCTATGAGCACGAGCGGGCCGCCGGTCCAATCGTACTCGATAGTGCCATTGGCACTTGGCAGCTGTTATCGTGGTCGGACTGTAGATATCGCCCAAGATGGTGTTGCCGCGGTAGTGGTTAAGACAATCAAAGGTAAAGGGCTGGCGCCGAGGGACTGGTATATAACCTGGTCCATATTCCCTTCCATGATCCTCATCCAGCTTCTACTCTCGGTCTCATCTACCACATCATCAGCTCTCCATCTAGCCTTCTCCGAAGACCATCTTTCCAAACTATCAACATGAAGTGGCTCCTTGCTCTCCTTCCCCTCGCGGCAGCAGCCCCTGCGTTCCCCAATGTCGAGCTCGGTGATGCCCCACCACCCGGTCAGGTACGAGAAACTTAGATGGAAATTTCCGAAACGATCAACTCACGCAACACAGGTCAAGATTCGCGGTGTCCGCTATGGAGGAACTGGTTGCCCGCAAGGCACCATGAGCTCCCAGATCAACAGTGACAGGACTGTCATGACCCTCATCTTCGACGCGTATATCGCCTCGATCGGCCCCGGCATCGCCGTTACTGAGCAGCGCAAGAACTGCCAGCTGAACGTCGACATCGAGTACCCAGGAGGCTTCCAGTACTCCATTCTGTCCGCCGACTACCGTGGCTACTCTGCCATCCAGAAGGGCGTCTCTGGCACTCTCAAGTCTACCTACTACTTCTCCGGAGACACTGCTCAGGTAAGATCTATTCAAGTTCCAGTGGCGTGGACCAGATATGCTGATACCCGAAATAGACCTCGACTGAGTACAAGTTCGACGGGCCAACCAACGGCGACTACCTCAAGCACGACGAGGCGGACAGCACCTCGGTTGTATGGGCGCCATGCGGCACCAACGGCATGCTCAACATTAACTCGCAGGTCCGCCTGACCAGCAGCAACGCCAGCGCCACTGGCCTCCTCACCACTGACTCTACCGATCTCAAATTCACCCAAGTCGTGTACGTGCAGTGGCAGAAGTGCACACCGCCCAAGCAGTAGAAACTGATTGCGGTTGATGTAGGCCGAGACATTGGATCAGCTGGATTAGTGTGAACGGGCCATGGGTGGTGCGGGTTGAGGATTTGAGGTGGAGGCGGTGTTAGTCGGGGAATGGAATTTACGAAGATATGCCGGACGCATGTTTGATGTTTGCATGATAGTTGAATCCTTTTATGAGATGCGCATCTCTCATTTCACTCTCCACATGCTGTGATGCTCCACTTGCCCCTTTACGCAACTCAGGACCAAGGACACGAGCGAGTAGGGCTTGCCAAACAGGGAGGATAATGGTGGTACTTTTCTGGGATCGCACAGTCGGCGAAGTTCGCATTCATGGTAGCAAGACAGTCGGGTGCACCCGTTGGCAGGACAGAGGTGATGTGGCGTGTGGTGTCGCAGCCACGTCGGAAATTGTGGGGATAAGAGGGCATTCTTGGCGGCAGGGTCGTGGTAGCCGCATTTAGATCCCTGTCTGTTTACCAGCGGCCGTGCGTCCCATAACAGAAGTTCCGGCTGGAACATCGTCATTGAGCACTCCAGCCCGCAACACCAGACCCTCGCTCGCGGCTGTTCCCCACGCTTTCAAAGGAGGCTGCGCAGTGCGATTGACCTACTTTTTTCATTTCTTGGGCGCAATCATGGCCGCCGCGGGCGCGTCTTCCATCTCCGTCACCGTACGAGTCCGCCCTTTCACTATCCGAGAGGCAGCCCAGGTCACGAGGAACGATGACCAAACGCTGTTCCTCGGAGACGGTTCGCTGGCGGGCTTGCCAGCGCCGAAGCTCCACAAGGGCATCCGGCCTGTCATCAAGGTCATGGACGAGAAGTGCCTGTATGAGACGTCACGTATCATTTCAAGGCATGAGGGCTGACCAGTACCAGAATCTTCGACCCTCCAGAAGACAACGCCGTCCAGCGGTTCGGACGATCAACAATAGGACCTCAGGGCAAGCGATCCAAGGACCAGACATTCGCATTCGACCGCGTCTTCGACGACACTACCTCCCAGGGCGATGTATACGAAGCCACGACGAAGCCCCTGCTGGACAGTGTGCTGGATGGATACAACGCGACTGTCTTTGCCTATGGCGCCACAGGTTGCGGAAAGACACATACTATCACGTATGTTCATGTACACCGCTAGTTACTCACAGGAGAACTAACATGCCTCCAGTGGAACATCACAGCAGCCGGGCATAATCTTTCTGACTATGCAAGAACTGTTTGAGAAGATTCAGGACATCCAAGACGAAAAGGTCACCGAGATCACGCTCTCTTACCTGGAGATCTACAATGAAACCATTCGCGACTTGCTGGTGGAGGGTGGCAGTAAACAACCCCTGATGCTCCGCGAGGATGCCAACCAGGCTGTATCTGTAGCTGGTCTTTCCAGCCACCGACCACAGAGCGTAAGTAGGAGGGACACACTGCACGACGAGCATCTAACAACCACAGGTTCAAGAAGTCATGGATATTATTGTCCGCGGCAACGAGTACCGAACCATGTCACCTACCGAAGCGAACGCTACCTCTTCCCGATCCCACGCCGTACTCCAAATCAACGTCTCCTCCAAAGACCGCAATGCCTCGGTCAACGAACCCCACACAATGGCTACCCTCAGCATCATCGACTTGGCAGGTAGTGAGCGCGCGAGTGCTACGAAGAACCGTGGAGAGCGTCTGACGGAGGGTGCCAACATCAACAAGTCCCTACTTGCGCTGGGAAGCTGTATCAACGCCCTGTGTGACCCCCGAAAGCGCAACCACATCCCATACCGCAACTCGAAACTCACGCGATTGCTCAAGTTCTCTCTCGGTGGAAACTGTAAAACTGTCATGATAGTCTGTGTTAGTCCGTCAAGCGCTCATTTCGATGAGACGCAGAACACCCTGCGATACGCCAACCGCGCGAAGAACATCCAGACCAAGGTCACCAAGAACGTATACAATGTCAACCGCCACGTAAAGGACTATCTTGTCAAGATCGATGAGCAGAGACATTTGATTGAGGAGTTGATGAAGAAGCAGAAGGATTTCGAAGGAAGCGCCTTGGTAAAGTTCCAGAAGCAGAGCGAGAAGAAGGATGGCATCTTACGAGACGCTGTGGTACGCTTGCGCCAGGCTTATGCGGACTCTGAGCCCGACCGTCGCGATCGGTTGAATATGTCAAAGACCTTGAAGCTGGCCGAGAAGCGCATCTCGATGATTTCGGCATGGATCGCAGCATTCGATAACGTGAAGGATGTTCGCGAAAACGAGGAGATGCCCGCTCAAGTTACAGCAATGAGAGATACCGCAGTCGGAATTTCGGCAGAACTCGAACAAACGCGACAACATTGCCATCGGCGATTGGAGCGTACTGTCTGGACGAGCAAAATGGACACAGCGCTGCATGTTGGACTGAAGGGTTTATCAGAGGTGGACGGCAATGCTGACGGCCACGATGCTGCCAACCTGACAAGAGAGTACGAGCTGCTCAAATCGAACGCAGATCGCGAGCAACTCAATGCTCTGCTGGATATGGAGAAAGGCGGCGAGGCTGCCATCGTCCAAGTGTTGGTACAGGCGCACATTGAGACCGTCACAATCCTGAGCCAGATCACCCAAATGGATGAAGCCCAAGCGGTCGAAGCGGCGAGGAAGCTACTTACGAAGATTATGAATTCTTGTACAAACGCGACTTCACAAGTTATTCGGCCAGACGGTGGCCTGCCAGTCACGGAGTTCTTCGAGCCAAGCCACAGAGGCACACCAAAAAGGAGGAAGCCAGCGAACATCATGGAGCCGTCCCCCATGCGACCAATTGCTTTGCCGACACTAGCGGACGCGCCGCATCTTACATCATCGCCAATGAAGTCATCACCACGCCGAAAGTTGATGGCAGGAGCCAGGAAGAGCGTTCAGTTCTCGCCGATGAAGAAGAAGAAGTCTCCATCAAAGACGAAGCGGGGGGTGCGCTGGAGGGACGACACCGAGAATGGTACACTTGCGGAATTCCAGAAGACACCAGAACACCTTGCAGGAACGCCAATCCATTCTTCCACCCCAGTGCCAGCACCGACTTACTCGACAGGCATCCCCATACCGAAATACGATGGAAGTGGTGGCTCTTCGCCTATTCCTACACCACCAAAAGCCTCTGTAGATTTGAAGGGCTCATCGCGCTTTGCAGTCGGCGCACTGTCTAAGCGTTCGGACGGATCCCCCACATCTCGTTCAAACAACGCATATGGCTCGGATTCCGACGGTGCGTCGCCTCTCCGCGACATCTACAACAACGCTCGCACTTCATCCTTGAGCAATGTAGAGAACGCCTCGTCGGGCCCCGCGCGAGAAGGAGACAGCGGCCACTCCAGTTCAGAGGGAGAGAAATGGACACCATCAGACGCCCGACAAATCGGACACGCAATCAAGCGTCGTTCTTCCACGAACGGTGGATCTGTACCTGTGAACCGAGCGCATCGTCGTCGTAGTCCGACAGCAGCGACTATTGGTAGCCCGCCCAACGAGAACTCCCTTCTCTCCGCGGGTGCAGCACGTCGCATGGTCAAGTCTGTCCACGAGGCTGACTGGAAGAACAGCGTACTTAGCCCACGGGTTACGCCCATAATGAAGAGCGCTGTAAGGCGCACTACCTTGGCGAACGTCGGTGACGATCGACCTCGGGAAGCACCACCCAGCTTGAATGCGCGAGCACCTGTACGGATCACTAGTGGTTCTTCGTCCAGAGGTAGCCTCATGCCTAATTCTAAGAGCGTCTGGCGTTGATTTACCTCTTGCTAATTGAGGCATTAGGTGGTTGGAGACGCCACCGTTGGGGCTTTTAACGACTTTTTCGCTTTTCGTTGCTTACTAGTTGCATTCTGTTCGTTTTCCATCTGGCGATCGTCTGGCGCCAGGTTATTCTCTTGTGCATCTGTCTCATTCTCAAAACCTTGGAAAACTCCATCTAGAAGCATTAACGAAGGCTTGGGTCGGTGTTTGGGTAATCTCTCTGCCTATGGCAGTTGCTGGGGCGTATTCAGTTGCGATTGCATTGGGATGTACTTGTATGCGTGTCTCGAGTATTGCGTAGTTTTCCTGTTACTAGCATCATTTCAACGTTTCACGATCATCTTTTTTGGTCTTTTTTGTTCAGCTGTGCCTCATGAGTGTCTACTTTCAATGAGCAATGTCAACATGTCGGTACAACCTCGCAATGTGACTAGAACTACTCGCCCACTCACCAGGTGATGGAGCAAGACATCGACCACAGCAACCGAGCCAGACTCCACCACCTACACCGATCTCCTCAGCCCTGCTACTTTCTATTTACTGTCACTCTGATTTGCTTTCCTCGGGCGCAAGTAAAATCTAGGTGACGTGCCGTTTGTTCTGCAGAACCTGACGCACTCTTCTTCACTCCGACCCTAGCGCTGGGTCCGCTGGCATCACCAAGTTGAGCATCGACCGCGCTGTCCAACGCCCTTACGTAGCTCGCAGCGCCCGCACCATCACAGGTAAGCAAGCCACGGTGTTATCACTCAGTCCATTGACACCAACACAGCAAACATGCCACCGAAGCCAAAAACCCCAAAGGCCCCGAGCCGTCCCGCCGCCGCCCCCAAGAAGAAAGCCGACATGCCAAAGGATCCAACTTCTAGTCAGCCCACCAAGAAGAAGCCCAAGATTGCTCGGAAGCGCAAAAACGACGGCAATGACGATATTCTCGCTCCCGGAATGAATCCGAAAGGCTTCGTGCAATTACACAAAGGCGAAGGCCAGGTCGGCTCCTACGCCATGTTCGGCCGCCGGGACGATTTCCGCAAGTTCATCCTGTCCAGCCTAGTGCTGAATGCCTATACCAATTCTTACACCGACAGCATAACAATCCAAGTGCGCCAGAGGGACGTACTCGAGTATATCCGTGACCAGGAGGATAGAATGAAGTCGGAGGCAAGCCCCATCGACGTATACCCAAAGCAGAGCGACAATATCCACGCCGTTCAACGAACCGCCCTCGCATGCGCACAGCTTTCCAGACAGGTTGAGAGGGCTTCCGGGCAATGGCCATTCGACCAAGAGCAGGAGAAGAAGGCTGTCAGCGCGTTCGAGGCCCTGGCAGGAAGGCAAGCATCGGCTTTTGACCGTTCGGACGTGAGCGTGAAGAGCTTCGGCCCCTTCCTCAAGTACGGAGAAAGCGACCTAGAGCCATACAGCCGCGCGTTCAACGTGATCTTGTGTCTTTCGTGGTCATTGAGCCCCAAAGTATGGAGCAAAAGGTTCGAAAATGCCAAGTGGGACGAGGAGGTCCGGTTTAGTACAGCTCACGTCCCGCATTGGATGCGGGAGCGAGACGGCACAAAGAAGCCCGCCAAAGCCCCAGACCAAGCAACAAATACATCCGAGCCGCCCAAACCGAACCCGGAAGTGCTTGTATCTTGGAAGATGACTTCCCTTTTTCCTAAACAACGAGAGCTCACGGAATGGTTAACAGAAATCGGGCTGGTCGACAACATCCCAAGTGAACTCCCGATAACAGTCAGGCCGACAGCAACCCGCGCAGAAGTCCGCGACATCATCCGAGCCAAGTTTCAATTGAATCAGAACCAGGCCCAGATCGCAACACTGCAGGTGAAGAGCTCGTTGTCGAACATCATGAAGCAAGATTGGAGCGCCGTGCAGAAAGAGCTATGGTCTGGAATCGATTCAAGCCCAGTTGTCGAGATGACCTTGATCGACGTTGTCTGATACATCCTCGTCGAAGTCACTAATAAGGAGGAACATTAGTAGGCGTGGCAGCGACAACAAGTTTTGTACCTAATAGAGTATTAGCTTACAAGTCCATGTATTCTGTTATAGTCTATACGTGCTTACCATATAACTAGGATGATAAGCCTGTATACCTCAAAGCCTACTATACAACTTCTTTTGTAACTGTAATCCTAGTTGAGATACTCCTGGCACACGTAGTGCACGTAAAATAAGACTCACCGGCTATCATGTAGGCGGTACGTCCAGCATCGTTTCCACGTTTTACGATCACCTCTTATGCTCAACTGTGTGAGAAAAATGATGACATCTACCATCTCCTAGGTTTCATTGCATTGCTCATGTCTCCATCCTTACAACTTCTATTTCTCATCTCCAATCTTGAAGACATACTTGACTCCACTGGCCTTGCCATCCCTCAGATTCTTCATACCCGTCTCCACTCCCTCCAAGCCACCAGGAATAACCTCATGCGGATGCGGCTTGAACCAGCCCTCAGCCAATCCCCTCGCCATATACCGGAACATAATGAACGCGTAATCCGCATCCTCCTTGTGCGCCGAGCCGACCATTGCCTGACTCTGCTGCACAGTCTCAGGAATACCTTCATACGTCTTACCCGGCAGAACAAGCGTGAGCTTGCCCGTGGGCTCTAGCACCTGCACGATGTTCGTGTAGGAGTTGTGTTCCGACACGGCGTCATACGCATAATGCAGTTTCTGTCCCTTGAGCGCATCTTTGATGCCCTTTACAACCGCTTCATCACCTTTTCGGTAATCGACAATAGTGTCGCCCTTCGAGCGGTCGATAAGTCCCTCGACGAACTTTTCTCCTCTTCCTGCTACGGCGATGATGGGGTGGATGTTTGCGCGTGATGCTAGTTTAATCGCATATGCGCCCACTGCACTCGCACCGCCATACACAACAAGCGGCGTGGGTTCCTGCGCCGGAGTCCACGGGTCAGGCAAGCCCATGCGTTGGTGCAGTCCGATGGCTGCTGTCATGGCAGCAAGGGGCAGGGTCGCTGCCTGCTCGAAGGACACGGAAGATGGGATATGGAAGGTGGTGTGCGCCCAGCCTACTGCGTACTCGGCGAAGGAACCACCCGGTGTCATCATCTCGTGGAAGGAAGCGACGCGGTCTCCGGGTTTGAACTCGTAGACGTTGGCACCGACGCTGTGGACGTAGCCGGCGATGTCGTCGCCGGTGTTGAAGTTGGGCTTCATGTCGTAGGCGGGGATTTTCCTAGAAGATGTGTTAACAGAGGATCGATTGGAAGGAGAAATATTGGAGTGAGAGGGAGGTCACGTGAATACAGTATCGTGCAAGTGCTTAGGTATGACGATGACTGGGAAGTAGACTCACCAGTCTTTGGGGTTACTGCCCGAATAGACGACCTTGATGACGACTTGGTTGGCTTGTGGCTCGGGAACGGCGACATCCTTGATGGTGACCGAAAGGTCTTTTGCTACCTGTGCTTCCTTCATTGTGATAACTCTTTCTTTCACAAGTCCGTTTTAAAATGCGTAGATGGATTAAGATAGATACAGGGTATAATGTGTCGTTATGTTATGTAGGTAAAGATACCAGCCAAAAACGAGGCGGGGCTCCCAGGCACTTTTGTATCGAACAACATGATCCTGAACATTCCACCGTCCGTCGTCCGACATCACAAACGCGAATATGTGGAGCTGGCATTAATAATGACGAATGTGGGGTTTAGTGTGCTGGGTGGAGTAGATCTAGCCCTGGAGGTTGTTGGCGACGTCGATGATGCGACTTTTCGGTATTCGCTTTTGGTGCATAGCCGAGATTGGCCGGATGGCATGATCGGAAGCTGGGCACCTGGGGTTCCTCCGATATCATTAATCACGGACTGGTAACCCCTCTTGCATCTACTCTACGTACCTAGCATAGTGCACTATACCCTGGCATACAACAAACTTCCCAGGTGAGATATTAGGAAGACACAGATGATATCTTAAACTCGCTCGACGCTCGGGATTCGACCAGAAACCTAGGATCGAGCAAGCTATCCGTTTTGTAGCCAACAACTCTATAGCTTCCCCTGTATCTTGTTCCCCAACACCTCCTCCCTCCTCCGTACATCCACATCCCGTGGCCCTTCCTTCTTGAACTTCGTTGTAACAACCCATTCTCTGAGTCCCGCTCTCCCCTGTCCCTGGCTTTCAACCTCTTTCCCCGGCCGATCAAGCACCAAAACAGCAGTGTTCTTATCTACGCCGCCAACCCCATCCTGCCCAGCCTGCCCGTACTCTCCTTTGCCCAGAGCAAGTGGAGATATGCAAGCTTCAGCAAAAGACACTTCAGGCTTCCCGTCGTACATGCGCGGCTTTTGTAGGAAGTCAAGACATTTCTCGCGCTCCAGTTGTAGCTCCGCCAGACTAGGCGTGGGCGAAGAGGGTGACGTGACACTTGATGCTAAGTACGGAGCCAGCAGCAAGGTAAGCAAGAACTGTGGTGGGAACAGGATAATCCTGTTTTGCCGCGCCAGGTCGATCCATTTGTTGGGCGGCAGGAAGCGGGCAGCGGTGTGCTCAATACCCCCATCGTGTGTAGGTTTGGGTATGACAATCTCGTCCTCCTCTTCCAATCCCGAAGACGGTGGTGTACCCTTGGGTGCGGCGTGTTTCGTCGGCGATACAGAACCAAGGGGCAGGAAGTAGATGTACATCTGCGTAGTAAAGCGTTTGGGCACGTTGGGAGGCGTTACCCAGCGGGTGAACGGAATCAGAGCTTCGGTATCAGGAAGTGCGCCCCATTTCTCCAACAAGTCTCCAAACTTGACCTTTCCACCGTGTACGTCTCTTCGGCCTTGTTCTCGTTCTTCGTCGCTTATCTCGGTGAACAGCTTCCCGGTCTTTTTGCTCTTGGCGAGTAAGATGCCGCATTCCTCGAAAGTCTCCCGTACGGCTGCCATACGATACGCAGGCCCATCTTGATGTCTTCCTGGGTGGTCTTCGTCGGGGATCTCGCCGTCGTGGGTTTTGGAAAGGGCGCCGCCGGGGAAGACATGGGCAGATGCGAAACTCGAGGCTTTCGATACGCGATGGAGGAGTAGGACCTGGTTCGTAGGGGAGATGAGCAGGACGCTATACGTGTTAGCATTTCGCCATTGGTAGACATCATGGTAGTCGCATACCTCGAGCTAGGCCGTGGAACCTGTGGTGCCTTTGACGCCTGCTTCGACGGCTTATGGTCTGCGGGCGAAGACATGTTGCGCTTTTGGGAGTCGGTCTTGGAGAGTTGAGCGAACTTCAGATAGGAAACAGTCCGTAGTGACGCTGACGATCGCGCACCGAGCTTCGCCTGCAATGTCGAGAACGAGGAGCTTGCGACGACGGGGCGTGGAGAGCAATAGGAGCGTAACGCAGTTGATCTACCTTTAGCCAGGAGGAGAGCAGTGGAACTCAGCTTTGGCATATCCGGCGACAGAAGGAGCCGACAATGGCGGTCGGCGCGTCATGATGGCTTGCATGTGGTTGGTGTTGACGCGCGGGGAGGTGCCGAGGTTAGGAAGTAGCTTGAGCAGTGACAGGGTGCCCAAGAGTCGACACACTGTCAGAACTCCGGCAGGGCTTCGCATCACTCAGCAAAAGACAATTTCTTGAGTTTGATCGTAAATGAACATAGTTCGTGGTATCATTGCTTTTGGCCTATCCATTGCTCCATAATAAGAACATAAATCGTCTTCGTGTCGCATGTCTAATGAGGGAACCTAGCAACCCAGCCAACCACCCACTAACGCCCTCCCAATGCATTCCGTATATCATCTTCAATCATCTATGAGTAGAGCTTCTTGTCGAAGCTGTGCAGACCGTGCACGTTACCCTCAGCCTGTGCACTAGCAGTGCGCAACTCGAACCTGACGGTGCCGTTGGCAACACCCTCGTGAAGCTCGGTAAGGCTCTTGATGCCAATATCCTGTAGCGAATGCTGAACACCAGCCATGAGGTAGGGCACAAACTTGGTGATGGAGCCACGGTCCTGGACGGATCCAGACACACCTTGGGCAACGAGCACGCGGTCACCCTCAGAGAAGTAGCGCGCGGTACCAGCGTTGCTCGCCTTGGAGTCGGCAGCGCCAGCACCAGCCTTCTTGTCCTCCATGGCGGCAATACTGCCCATACCACGGTAGGCCTTGACGAGCTGACCATCGCGGCTGACGAAGTACTCACCAGGAGACTCAGTGGTACCGGCGAGGAGACCTCCCATCATGACGGCTGATGCACCCATGGCAAGACCCTTGACGATGTGTCCTACGTTCTGGATACCGCCATCCGCGATGCAAGGCACGCCGAAGCGCGATGCGAAAGAGGTGACATTGTACACCGAAGTGGCCTGCGGCCTTCCGACAGCCATGACTTCTTGCGTGATGCAAGCACTTCCGCTACCCATACCGATACGGAGACCGTCTACACCAGCGGCGATGAGACCAGCAGCCTGCTCGCGAGTGACGACGTTTCCGCCAATCACGTCGAGCTGAGAGTACTTCTCCTTGATGTACTTGATCATCTCGATCTGGTACATGCTGTTTCCCTGACTGCTGTCGAGGATGACGATGTCGAGACCGGCATCGACGAGCTTCTGCAGACGGATCTTGTCCTCTGGTCGGGTGCCGATGGCAGCCGCGGCGATCAGCTGCTTGGAGTGTGGGAGCTTGGACGCAAGCGGGAAGTTGAGGTTCTTCATCAAGTCGGAGCGAGACAGGAGCGCAATCAGGTTGAAGCTCTCATCTACGATGGGAAGCTTTCCCTTCTTGGACTTGTTCAGAATGTCGTTGGCCTCCTTGAGCTCAACGCCGTGGCGGGCGGTTACGAGGTCCGTGGACATGACTGCGGTGACCGGGTCGTCCAGCTTGTCGTGGAACTGGATGTCTCGGGGGGTAATGATACCAACGAGCTTGGAGCGGAGGGTGCCGTTCTCTATAGTCAACTGTCAGCGAATGCATCTCGACGAATTGACAAGGCGTAGCGTTTGTGAGGCATTTCAGATACATTTTCTCCACAGTACGACGGAATCGTTGCGGATGAACGAAAGTTAAATTGAAAAGGTAATCATCATAAAGCAAACACGGGTATAAGAGTGTAGAGTCTGACTTACCAGTGACTGGGAAACCACCGAAGCCCCACCTCTCCTTCAGTGCCTTGGCCTCTCCGACTGTGGTGTTGGGAGAGATGACGACGGGGTCCAGGATGAAGCCGTTCTCGAAGCGCTTGACCTTGCGGACCATCTCGGCCTGGTCGTCCTGAGAGCAGTTGTGGTGGATCACACCGAGACCTCCAAGAAGGGCAATGTGGATGGCCATGTTGTGCTCGGTGACAGTGTCCATGGGCGAGGAGACAAAGGGCGTCTTGAGAGAAATGCGCTTTGTGATTGGGGTGTCAAGGGCGACTTCGGCGGCAGGGAAGCCAATGTAGCCAGGAAGCATGAGGAAGTCATTGTAGGTGAGGCCGCCGTTCTTCTTGGAGTCGATGAGCGTCTTGATGTCGATGCCATCGCGCTCGGGGTACTCGTTCTTGAGGATCTCAAGAGCCTTGGTGTAGTCCAAGGCGTCGGCGGCCGTGTTGGTCATGGCGTCACCGTTGGAGATGGGCATGATGGGTGGTAGAAAAGAAACTTCTCGGGGACTTGAGAAGGGTAAGAGGGGTATCACGGAAGGAAACAGGCCGTCGTGCTCAGCAAAAGACTCTGGCCGGGGAAAGTTGAGGGCTTTCCCAAGAAGAAAAAAGTTGGAAGAAACTGGCGGCGCGGAAAGAATTTCTGTGGGCTCCTTCGCCAAGGCTCCTGCTTCAGGTGACCCCGCCTTTTAGCGCGACGACGACGCGTCCGAAGGGGGATCGATGTGCAGGCAGTACTGCAGTCGACGTACAATGCTGTACACTGTATGCGCGAAAGACGCATATCAACATATGCTGGACATGTCAACAATAGTCGCAGTCGTCAGTCTTTTGGTAAGGTACGACGCTCTCATCAGCATCTAGTGCATTCCTCGCTAGCACACTCACGTGGTGGGCGCGACGTTTGGACTTGCACGGTACCGGCTGGGAGCTCCCTTATAGTGACAGGTCGACGAGTCGATAATTGGACGCGTCCAAGGGGTGCGCTAGGCTAAGGTTCAGGTTCAGGACGCGATAGCTCACCGTGCGAGCTGTAGTAAGGCTGTCGCCGTTGATGGCGCCGACGTCCTTGTCGCCCTGCAATTCAGGCATCATGGCCGCGACGCGTACATGGGCTTCCGGGATGGTCGTTGAATCCGGACGTGATGGTGAAGTGAAGTGGTCGGCTCGTCTAGACATGGCGATTCCGCGGCACAAACACGGTAGATGCAACAGTGATGCAGCACTAGGATGTTGTTTTGAGGGATTCCCGGTCCGTGTGACGGGAGTCGGGATGGATGATTTTCGCGGCTGGAGATGGCGTGGATGGGTTTCTTGGGGTGGTTGGCGCGACAACAGGCCGGCAA